TCCCAGTGCTGACATTCTTAAGCTTGGCGATTGCAACCTCTTGTTATCGACGAAGCTGCTCATGAAGACGCTTGCGACGACGTGCGTGCATCTCGAGACGCTCCAACTCTTGTATTGTGATGCTTTGACGTGGCGTGAGGTCGTAGCTGTCCTCTCTGGCACGCTGGACCTGCCGCGCTTGACTTTACTGGGCATAACGATCCGACTCTCTGTCGTGTTCGACGTGCTTCGGGAGCTCGTTGCCGCGGGCCGCCATCTCCGGACGCTTCAATTGGAGACCGGCGTCAGCGAAGGCCATGGAGGTGCCGATGGAGCCAAGCGCGCGCTCTGTCGGGCGCTGGCACTTACCCTGAACGCCCCATTCATCGTGGAGGCGCTGCCAGAAGACACCGATGCGTTCGTGGTCGACGCACTTGGACCGCGCGCCGATCGTGGTGATCGCTGTCGTTTGAGTTTCAGATAAACTCAAAAATTCTTGCGTTTTGAATCTTCATTAACCACCTTACCACCTATTAGTACCACCAGAACGAACCAAATCGCACGCACTGTCGTCGTCGTCCACTATGCCAAAGTCGCATTGTAGCTCGTGAGAAAGGCTGAGACGCCGTCGGAATGACATTCGATCGACTCGGTTGTTGTACATGAAGTACAGTGTAGTAGGACGCCATTCACAGACAATATTGGATATTGTTGTGTTCATGATGGTGTTGCAACGTGACGACGCACGGCTGCTGCAGAGACATCAACCTTTTTTGAGAACGACACGATGCGTTGCCATCGTGCCACGTACTCGACAATGGCAAAAAGTATCAAGGTTTCAAGTTTAGAATGCATACAACAACATCCGCTTTGATTGGTCGAACCCAGTGCGTCCGACCTCTCGACCTATACCCTTGACCTACTGTCTCTTTGGGCTGCGTTGCTGGCGCTGGATTGGCCGCTCGACCAAGAATTTCCACAAATCCACTCTCACACGCGGATACCGGTACGAAACTCGGAGCCGCCGTGTCGCATTGATGGCGCGTAGTGCAAGCGCGAATCTACACTACGCTGGCGCGATGTCCGGCCAGAAATCGATGTCGACTCCTTTGTGTCGGCCGCACTGCATCTGCGACATGATCGAAGCGACGGTTGCCGCTTGCATGTTGTATCAACTCGAAATATTGGTATTCTTTTATTCGAGTACGTGGGAGCATGACAAGGCATCTCGATGGTGTCAAAAGGTCGATGCTGTGATAGCCGTACGCGATGGCGACACCATTAATAAGAAAACTTGTAGAATACTAGTACCAAATAGTAAATACACAGAATACAGTTGGCCATGGTGTCGTTTTGGTCGATCGCCACTCGACGTGGAAATTTCGAACCAAGAGAAATCCATATACGAGGTGCGACGTTCCAGCCCCGTAGGTGTTGTCATTTTCTCAATTCTTTTCCTATTGGTATCGGAACCACAAAATTGCTTGATCTCAATGGCCACCTTGAACCAAACGAGAAAAAAAATGAATGTTGCTATTTGAAGCGATTAGAAATGCAAGGCGCACTCGTGGCGACGATCGGCGCGTCGACTGAGCGCGTCGACCACAAACTTGTCCATGTCTTCTGGCAGCGTGTCGACCACAAATGGGACGTCATGGACTTGCGCCAGCGCCTCGCAGATCACTCGCTTCTTCAAATTGTAGTTCTCGCGCTCGATGATATTCAAGTCGAGGTGGCGGAGGTGGCGGCCCGCAGCTACGAGCTCTGGAAGCACGTAGAGCACATCCCGCAGACGCATCATCAGGATTAGCGACGCCAAGCGTGGCAATTGCAATACGCCAGACAGCACGGCCGCCGACCCTTTGCGAGTCATATGCAGACGGCTGGCAGACAGTGTTTCGAGATGCGTGCATGTCGTCGCAAGCGTCTCCATGAGCAGCTTCGTCGACAACAAGAGGTTGCAACCGCGAAACTCAAGAGACGTCAGCGCTGGGACCGACGACAAGCCCGCGATCATTGCCGGTATGGAGCCAGCGTTCGACCCGGAGACGACATGGGACTGCAGTTGCGATAGCATTGGCGCCGCGGCCGGATAGGTCGCCAGCTGGCCAAAGACGCTGCACTCGAGACGCTCGAGCTGCGTGGGCCCGACGGCGGTCGCAAAGTCCGTCAGCGTTGCGGCGTCGACGAATCTAAAGAACGGCACATTCCACGCCAAGCTCTTTAACGACAATGGAAGCGTGTGGCCGTGGAAGCCATTGAGGCCGCGGACGTTGTCGATAGTAAGCTCTTGGAGGGTTGTGTTGGCTTGGAGCGCATCGCAGAGCGCAATGACAGCATCGTGGTCCATCTGGGCGACATTGGCCAATCGGAGCTTCGCCGCTGGCGCCGTCAAGAGCCATGCGGCCAAGCGGTGCCCGAGTCGTGGCGCGGTAGTCACGCTCTGGAGGTTGAGAGACAAGTCGTGGACATGCGGGTGGACGACGACAGCGAGCAGATCGTTGAGCTCGACGGCCTCGTTCTCCGAATAAGATTGGACCGAGATATCCATGTGGCGCAGACGTGGGCAGCGCTGCAAAAGGAGGTCGCTGATCGCGCGGCCTTGGCCATCGACCACGCGGTCGCTGTAGTAGCGGAGCGTTACAGTGTTGAGCGCAGGGCCGACGACGGCGACGAGCGAGGCCAGTGTCGCTGCGTCCCGGATGGAGCAATGCAGCTCAATACGTGGACGCAGCGGCAGCGTCGCCGCGAGCAGCGTCAAGACCAAAGACGGCAAGTCCATGCCACGCAGCTCGATGCGCGGCCAGTTGGCGATGATCGAATATGGCATGGCCGTGGTGCAGGCGAGAAAGGCCGCGACCGCTGGCGTCCGTCCCGAGCGTGGTACTGCATGGAGGAAGCTCTCAAGGTCGTCCTGGTTGTCCAAGCCCGTAGCAATGGCCTCGACGACATGCGGAAGCGCAAGCGCGTCTGGCGGCGTCGCACGGGCGGCCTTCTTGCCCCCGGTCATCTTGATTAGTGTGACGCGTCCATCAGCGTCTCAATTTCGTATCCGGATGCGCGATCCGATTAGCAGAAAGTCTATCTCCAATAGCCAATCCAACGCAAGCAAACGTCGCCGGGTTGACAATGTCGACCCGTAGCATTGGATGTCGACTCGACATCCAATGCCACACGCCTCGGCCAAGGCTGGGAACGTTGGAGAGACTGAGCTCGCAGATCGTCGATCTGGCTCAAAACGCATGACAAAATACAATAGTAGCGTGGTCGTAAATGAGCGCAATGTGAAGGAGGTGTCGCGAGCCTCGGAGCCAGAACATGACAGGCCTGCGGTGTGGGAGGAGCGTACTGCAGGTTGATGTGCAACCGTTCAACATGCAAATAGGTGGCGGCGGCCAGCATATCGTTTAGCTCAATGGATGGATCGTCGGCGCCGGTTGGAACAACCGCGTTGAAGATAGTAGTCAGTTGACGCAGACGCGGGCAGCGCTGCAAGAGGTGACCCCGGACCACGCAGCCATCGCTGTTGTCCATCGTGGCGCCGATGTTTCCGATCATAAGGGTATTCAGCGCGGGACCGAGAGCGGGTCTCAATCGCAACATGCGTGTAGATGCGCCGCAGCGCTACTAGTACTACAGTAGTTCTAGCGTCAAGATGGCGGAGGATACATCGTCGTCGATGCTGAGTGCGTTGGCACTCGTCGTCGATACGCAACGTGGTCTAGGCAGAGAGCGCTGGTGGCCAGAGCGGTCGTCGTACCAGGTATGTAGACAACGGTTGAGTCGGTGCAGGTGTCGAAGGACGCGGCACTGGAATGGCGTCGAGGACGTGCGGGGCGAAAACGGCGATTGGCGCTTGTCCGCGCGCCACCGACCGCGTTGCAGCCATAGCGACCGCATCATGTTTCATGCGACCCTAACCCGATCCGAATACGAACGTCATTCGGGATACTACGTCGTCAACGAAGAGACCAGACACTTTGATATTGTCTACCACTTAAAAATACACTTCTCATACGATGTACTTTCGTTGATGCTAGAGCCCGTCCACAAGGATCGGTCGTGGAAAGGGCATCGGTGCTACTCTCTCGAGCACAAAGCAAGCACCTTCCGATAACAATGCGATCCACATACTTCAATGTCACTGCTTTCTGCATGGGATCAAGCTCCAAGCGACAGCGATGGAACGGATCGGCGTGCGGCCCAAGGGCGTCGACCACGTCTGCACCGATATTTTCTGGCAGCTTGGTTACGACGAAGGAAGCATTATGGATCAGAGTCGCGGCGTGTTAGCAGCGTCCAAGTACGTACAAAGGGAGCTGATTGACGTCCGGATGGGTGACAGCTGCTGCAAGCAGATAGTTAAGCGACATGGTGGCCTCCTCCTGGCCCACGCAGTAGATGCTCCGTTGGCGCAGACGTATGCATTGCTGCAAGAAAAGATATATCGCGGATCCAACTCCATTGGCCGTCGACTAGGATGGCGCCGCCAAACTCGATCAGAAAGGCCCCGCAGAACAACGACTGCCTGACAAACTTTTCGCAAAAGCCCGCGGCCCACCTGCCGGTCGACTACTCGAGCTGCGAGCTCGAGTAGTGGCTTAGACAGACAGCAAGATCCCCCTTCATCAACAGACTTTAGGCCATTGGTAGTCTGGCGAATTGCACACTCCTTTGGGCAGGTACACAACGGTGGCGTCGCCAAAGCGGTGGGCGATATATCTTTGTTGGTGCGCCCGACTCTGGGCGAGCTAAATCGTGCCATGCACAAATGGCAGGTGTACATGTAGCACGGATCGGCACACACGGCGCCAGGGTCAACGACGTCCCGTTTGTTCTAAAGGCGCTGCCAGAAAACGATGTCGGCGACTTTGTGTGGGACGTACTACAGGCTGGCACGATGATCGAGGCAACGGATGTCGCTTGCATTTCTAAAATTGAAGCATTGATACTTTTATTTTGAGCACGTGGCAGCCTGACAAGGCGTCGCGAGGGTTTGGAATGGTCGATGCCGCTCTGCGATAGCCCTAAATTACGTTGTCGAATGGATTTGAGGTGGGATAGCATTATGAAAGTATGCACAGCTACTACACCGATGACAGATTGTTGTTGTCGGAATACTACGTCACGAAGGCTGTGTTCGCGTCGCCTTCTTTTAGACGAGGTTTCGACACTGGTCTACCACCAGGTTCGTACAGGATGAGCACCTCTACACGGCGCATGGATCATGCGCATCAAGTACCTTCCACCGGCAGTACGTGGCTCAAGCAAGACCCGTCGCAGTTGTCACCTTCTCATTTTTTTCCCATGGGTATCGGGGCACAGAATTGCTTTATCACAATCGCTACCTTGAACCAAACGAGAAAACACATCATTGTGGCTATTTGAAGCGCTTAGAAATGCAAGGCGCACTCGTGGCGACGATCGGCGCGTGGGCTGAGCGCGTCGACCACGAACTCGTCCATGCCTTCTGGCAACGTCTGGAGCACAAATGGGACGTCGGGGACTTGCGCCAGCGCCTCGCAGATCGCGCGCTTCTCCTCATTGTAGTTGTCGCGCTCGATGATCCTCAATTCGAGGTGGCGCAGTTGACGGCCTGCAGCTACGAGCTCTGGAAGCACGCGCATCACATCCGGCAGACGCATCAACAGGGTAAGCGTCTTCAAGCGTCGCAATCGCAACACGCCAGACAACACAGCCTCAGACCCATTGCGAGTCATATGCAGACGATTGGCAGACATCATCTCGAGATGCATGCACGACGTCGCAAGCGTCTCCATGAGCTCCTTCGCCGAAGAGAGGTTGCAATCGCGAAGCTCAAGAGACGTCAGCGCTGGGACCGACGACAAGCCCGCGATCAATGCCGGCATGTGGTCAGCGTGCGACCAGGAGACGCTGAGGCACTGGAGTTGGGATAGCATTGACGCCGAGGCCGGGCATGTCGCCAGCTGGCCGAAGACGCTGCACTCAAGACGCTCGAGCTGCGTGGGCCCAACGGCGGTCGCAAGGTCCGTCAGCGTTGCGGCGTCGACAGCGCCATTGAAGCGCACATCCCAAGAAAAGCTCTTCAACGACAATGGAAGCGTACGACCATGGAAGCGACCGAGGCTGCGGACGTTGACGATGGCGAGCTCTTGGAGGGTTGTGTTGGCTTGGAGCGCATCGCAGAACGCAATGGCCCCATCGTGGTCCATCGTGGGCGACATTGGTCAATCGG